TGCGCTATCTGGTCCCACTCCTCCTCGTGCCACAAAAAAGTCATAAAAATATTTCATTATATTTCCATTTGATTCATACACACAGAAAAAATTAAAAACCCTTTAAAAATACGTCCGTGTCACTTCAAAAAGTCTTATTTTTTCAGTCTGAGTCACTTTACACTATCACGGAGAGAGAACCATAACAGATACAAACAATCTGAGTCGACCATTCGATCCGCCGTACCCTGTTTACACCACTAGGTTTTTTCCCTGAGCCTTGAAAGTCTACCATTCCTACGGCGTGAACGGATCTAGCCTCATTTACCCATCATCTCGAGGGATTAGTACCTGGTCAAAGTCTAATACACCTGGTCGAAGTCTAAAAATAGAGTTATCTCACGTGTACATAAGGCTCTGCAGGCCGTGTTACACATTTACAACTCAATACACCCGGGATTTGCCAGGATCTGCAAGGATCTACATACATACAGATCTGCCGTACTACCACTCCCGCCTAGTACATCACCCCTCCTACTAAACCGTCGAAAGTGATCTTTCCTGACCTTTGAGAGAGTGTAGCTCCTTCATTATTTGAGCTACATCGACAAACAAGATACAGAACTCATCGCCTTTATAAGACGTATCCAGCGCCGCTTTCAAATCCATCCTCACTCAACTCCATCACCCAGTTCCAGTAGCAAACACCGACCTCTCACGTTTTCGACTAGAAATACTCTGAAATATTTCATTCTGAAAAGTTGAGCGTGTTCCTTAGCTTCTGAACTTATCTCTCGAACAAAAAATTTCCTAAAAAGCTCAAAAATTGGTTGTGTGACAGTGTCCGCCGTCAACAGCACCCTTAGCGCTAATATCCAAAACCTGGAAGTACACGACAAAAACACTGCGCCACAAGACAATAGAGCCCAATCTCCTCAAAAAACTAATAGAGAAGCCTCAGTAGTTGCCTCAGACAAGTCTTCAGGTAAATTTAACACCTCTACATATTTTTTTGTTATCAATTTTCACCGGGTTAAATTTTCCTACTAAGACCTGTTTTCTTTTACCATGTCTCCACCTTGTCTTAGACTTAGAGGTTATAATGGAAGGAACAGAGACGCTCCATCATCCCAGAGAGGATTTCCACCAGCGTCAGTCTTACCAAAGAATAAAGATAAAATTATTTACGCATCTAAAAAGAAACTAACATCTCCTACTAACAGTTCCCAAGGAAGAGAAATTCGAGCACTATTACTACAGGATGAAGAACAACAAAGAATGGTTGAAGGATGTGCGCAACCGCAGCAGTTACTCGGCCATCAGAGCTCATCTAAAGTATTGCCGGGAGGATTTCCAAGCGATGATAGACTTAAGAGGAATGACGACGACCCTCAAAAGAACCAAGGGTTGGAACCCATTAAACGTGTCGGCAGAGAGTCTCCTTCAACCAAGAGAAGCGCCGGACCTTCAAGAAGGATCAACGAGACCCCTGAGTCGCAGAGGGAGGAATACCCATTCAAGACACCCAAGGAATACGGGGAGGAACACTCAATGGCACAGCCAAATCTACGAAGAGATGGTACACCTTGGGAGGTCTCTTCAAGGGACTTATCAACACTTGGAGAAAGGAAAAATCAACCGCCAACACCGCTTCATGGAAGAGGAGCCTTAAATATTTCCCCTACACCTGCGTGTGAAAAATTTCCTGATAATTCTGATAGTGATTCTACTAGTAGGAAATCAAAATTGTTGTCTAGTGATTATTCTACGCCACAAGTCCCCCATGAACATATCCCCATAGAAATTTCTCTGCGCAGAGCTGTTAATATGTTTACTGAGAATATGAATTTTTTAGTACAACATACAGCTAAACCGAAAAAGCTTGCGGGCTGAGAATTCGGAATATCCAAAAATAAAAATTTTCATCGACTTTGGGCCGAATCTTTTGGAAGAATACAGCAACTGTATTCTTCCAAAAGCTCGGCCACCTTCCCTTCCTCCGCCAAGGTATTTCCGACCTGTATTTCCCCCCTCGACTGCCGGTCAGCCGCTCCGTTCCCTCCCACCAACACGTCGACACCGATCCCACTCACCCTCAATCTCCTAGATACGTCGGCACCGATCCCACTCACCCTCAATCTCCTAGATCACTGCTCGCGTTGGTGCCTGGGCTGCTTTTGTAAGTTAGCCTCCTCTGTCATTTGACCGAAGGCGGTTTTTTGGAATCTGATCCATAACATTTCTTTTTTGGGCCTTCTAGGTCAGACGAGGGATGTCTCACGTGAAAGGTCGGAATGACCTTGACCTTGATGACTTGCTTGGTCACCTACCATTCACCAATGTCGAGGACGCAAGCCAAAAGTCGTACCTTGGGGAACCCGAACGGGAAAGTGTGCCGTTCGAGACCAATCTGACGACTAATTTGGCTGCTTCTCAACCGCCTCAAGGTTCGTTGCGGCTTACAAAAATCTACCACGAGAATCCTTCGACTGAGAGTCAACTACTAGCAGCTGGAGGGGGTTCTTCAACTCCCGGGAACCTTCGAGTGATTGCAATTGATTACATAGTCTTCAACCGAACGGCCGGCAACCAGGTCGCTCAAGTCCGACCGTCAAGTTCGAAGGCCAGCCCCGCCGCCTCAGCGAAAGAGTGGGAGAAAATTACTCCGACCTTTGATACAGTATGGAAGGCGGCCTTGGAGGTGTGGTCCTGGCCGAATGCTCAGCAGTGCATCATAACTCTGCTGCGCGAAGGGCGGCCCCTTGTGGCTGATCACCTGGTCAATCTCCAGGAGAATGGGCTGCTCAAATGGCAGTGCATCCTTGCGAATCACTCGACTTACGGCGCCAACAAGATGTACTTGGTTTACTCCGACGAGGATTTTACGCCGTTTGTCGCTGCGGTCCTCAAGAAGCCGGGATCGAAGGTGACAATCAAGCTACTGATGGACGACCCGGCAAGGTCAGCTAGGAGGAAGCAGGCGGTAAGTCTTAGTAGATTTGTCCCGCTGGCGATTCATGACTTATATCGTCCTGTTTGTCCACTTTGCAGGAACAGCCTCGCAATGTCCTATGCGCCTAATGATGAGCGCTTGGCCTTACATAGGTTGCAAACGCGTGTGGTTTTGAATGTGAGCAGATGGTCGTGATGTGATGTCCGTGATGCGTGATTGGACTATGCTGACAAGTTGTTTCCCAGCCTAAATGTGACCAAGATTCTGCCGCGCGGACACGCTTTGTTGTGGAGATAACCGATTGGATCACCTCAACATACGGATGTGACAGTGAGTCACTTCGCATCAAGGACCCGGCGAACCCGGAGTGCTCAATGCGAGTCACTCGAGATGGCCTCTATGTGTGGAGTCGAGCCTTGGTTCACAAGGCAAAAGGCGTGACCACCGAGATTCCCCCAGTGACCAAGGAGTTCGTGTCGGAGCCAATCACGATTTACACTCTGGCCGAACAAAGCGCGCTCGCTAACCGCCGAGGTGGCAAGGCCCAGTCTGCAAGGCCGACCGGTTTGTCATCATTGGACACGCCTCAGTTCACTGCACCCCGGGTCATGCCATGCGGCCGAATCCGCCCTCCTCGTTTGATCACCTCCCCACCGGCGCACGTGTCTCCTGGCCCTTCCACACCCGCTGGCATTAAGTCGAATGCCCACGAGTCATCGAGAGGTGTCCCGAGTGACCCATTTGAGACCCCAGCGGATCCACATCGCTTGGGTGAATCCGGACCCCCGGCTCGAGGAAACGTGGTGGATTTGGACGCAGCTTCCGACGATGACCCGCGGTCAATCCCTGCGACCCCTATGGGGACGATTAATCGTCCTCCTGGCAGCCGATCCAGTACCGACATTGAGGTCTGGTCAGCTGATCGATCACCGGCTCGCAAGATTGCCCGGAGCCCCGGTGGGGGTGGTATCAGTGTCGGTCGCTTGGACTATAATACTTCTGGTCCTGCCCGCGGCGGACCCGAGACCTCGCCCACCAGGAAGATAGCCGGCTCAAATGGCACTGCAAGTGTCGGCTCGGCCGGAACCAGTCAGGTCTTATCCATGGGATCTGGCCCAAGTGCCATGTTATCGATGGGGTCGGCTGTCCTGATTCCCCCCAGGAGGTCTCTCCCGCCTCTGAACAACTTAGGACGGGCGCTCGGTATGGAAACGTTCTTAGACCTGTGTAACTTCCAGAGGGACGACTTGGTCCCACGCGTGTTGATCAACATGGCCCATATCAGGCATTGGGAGTTTTTTTACCGCAACACCGATGTGATCCAACTGCAGAGAATGGGTTTCCCATACCCTATTGCCTCACAGCTCATGAATGGAGCCGAGTATGTGGGTGCAACTCATACTGAAGCCCCTGTGGACGAACCAGAAGACGAGGCCGCGAATCACACCAGACAAGATGGGCCAGGCGAAGACGACGATCAGGAAGATCCAACTGCCAACCTCGCGGGTGCCGACACGCAGGCTCCAGCCCTTTCCCCAGAGTACTAAGGCCGCAACCTCACATCAGAAGACTGCGCTCTGATGATCTGGGCCGGCGGGTGATTTCACGGCTCCCTCTCTGAGCCGGTGGATTGAATAATTTTCTGTTTATCTATCTGGATTGAAGAATTTTCCATTTATCTATCTCTTGTTTAGAATCCCCCGGGCCATCGCGCCCGTTCGATATCCCCTCGAAATAATTTGATTGACTCTTCTTGTCTGCGCGCGCGTTTGCTTCCCTGATTCCTAATCATGAATCACTCTTGTTGTCTTCACTTCAGTTCGCTCCCCTCATTATTACGATGAATCTCCCTTGTATGCT